ATAAACCGATAAGCATAATTATAACATTTCTGGTAAGATTCTTAGGCAAACTATTTTTTGTTTATGTGTCAAGTGATATTATTTCAAAAAAAAAAAAAAGTGTCACTTGAGGCACTTTAGTGCTCTAAAAGATGATTATTGCCAATAATTCAAATCTGACAATCTACAGAGGTATGAAATGTGTGAATACCCTATTCATGAGTTAAAGTAGTAGCAAAGAGTGCCACTCTTGGAGGTGTTGGTGTTTTACTGAAAAGTTTACAAATTTCTCTGCTGTACTATTTGAACGAGCGTTCCCGAGTCAAATAATATGCCTCAAAGTTTACATAAATTTTTCAATATATCTTAATCGTATACTATAATTAAACCAATGGCATTTCAACCTTCCTTTTTGATTGATTGGACAACGAGGTGCTCATAAACGATCTCTAATCAGATGAGCAACTGTATTTGCTCTCAAGGTAACTTGTTAAACAGGCTTTATTCATAATCTGATTACCAAAGATTCAATGTAGTAAGATAACACTCATTCTGTACTTTTTGATCATTAGTCATTCAATTTGTTTTTCATCGGAATTTTACACAGCTCTCCTGCATGCATTTCACTTTATTAATGGCAATAACGTATCGATATTTCTTGATTTCCTTCAACCTATTCAGCTGTTTCTTCAAATGTGTGTCCACTTGAGAAGAAGTGATCAAATGAACGTCTCTGGTAGAGGTAATAGTGTAAGCGGGGTATGGTTTTCTGTGTCTATACATACGTTCAGACATCTCTTAGGGGGTATGCTTGTTATTTTACAAATTGAACAAAAAAATGGCAAAGAGTGTCATGGTTAAGGCTCATCAAGGAAGCAGATGATGACTGATCAATAAGTAGAGAAAATAACACTTAAAGTATTGTTTTTCGTTTATTCTCGTCATCTTCATTATTACACATATTGCACTGCACTCTAAACTACCATATTGGGTAGTACTTACACCATTTTCTTATCTTCGTGTTCAAGAAACTATAATGTTGCTCAATGATCAGCTTTGGGCAATTCCTAGTGATCGTTAATCCAAAGAAAACAAAAAGAAAGTTGCAAAATATACAATATCGTGCTGATTGATTCTGCTTCTCCCTTGAGACAGTCAATAGCAATAATTGATTTTAGTATCTTTAGCGAGCAAAATGGCCGAGTACAAAGTATTCTTCTATCTGGACTTCTTCACTTCATCGTTCACGATCAATGGCTTTATTTGCGCTCATGCCTCTTTAGACTATAACAAACCAGAAAAAAAAAGGCCATTATTTCATGCACAAATTGCTATATCCAATATAAACCTCATCTCTTTTTCATGTGCATTAGTACACAGGCATAAGCTATAAAGGGTGATCTATATCATTTTTTTGAGATCTTGTTACCTGTCAATGTGAAATCTTCTGATTGCTACAAAGACAGACATTGTTAAGAGCTGTCTAGTAACTTATCGATCGCCTCATTACTCTTGTAGGCTGTAGTTCAGATTTTCAAAAAGAATCAACTTAGTATATCCCATATGGAACTCTTCAATCTGCCACTAAATATATTTGATGCTTCTATTAAATCGCCTTTTAGTGCTTTCAGTCTTTACATTAAAAATTCCTATAGCTGATGAGATGTTACTAATTCGTATCGCTAACACTTTTGAGTCGATCATTTGGCAATTAAAATATGCTCACATCCTATTGATTACATGCAAGTTCTATCTTTTTTTTTTTTTTACTCTGTAAGAACAAGTTGATATGATAGCTCAGACTGTTATAAAAATGATGGTACGCAACCTGTAGTGATATTGTGCGATGAGAAACATACTATATCTGACAAATTGCTATGCCTTGTAACTCAAGGTGTGCATGTAGGCTCAGATTTACTTTGGGGGCTATTTCATTCATTTGATTTTTATTCGCTACCTTTTCTGCATAAATACTCAATAACTTCAGCAGTGATATTACATGTCATTCACAAAGAATAAGCCGGTGTTCAGTGTTGATATTCTCTTTATTTTTTTCTGAAGGGGCTGTGTGTACAGAGGAGATGTTAAGAGCTATTTCAATAAAATGTCTTGTATAGTGCTCTTGAATTATACTTATTTCTTCCACGTCTTGATAAAAAACAAAAAGTCATGAGGGGGACTACTTTTTATTTCTACCTTTTTCTTTCTTTCATTTGATAATGAATGTCATTTCAAAAATATCTGAAGCGGTTAATGTAGTATTTTACAGTGTATCACTGTTTGGGTAACCTGCTTTATGTTATTAATTACTAAAACTTACAAGAACGATTAGTTTGACAGGGACACTTCAGTTAGTTCAAGTCGGTTCTTTAATCTTGTCTCCATTGTCAGAGAGATTGATGATTAGAATCAATTCAGGACTTATTGGTACTGTGTGGAAAGTGATGCAATATATATTTGAAGTAAGTTATAGTTAAAGAAAACAACCATATACAGCTACTTTGATTCATATAAAAACAAAACAGCGTCGGAAAAAGGCACATATTACATTTTCAGGAGATCATGTTCCTTTTGGCGAAAATGCACTTGTTATTAGTAACCATGTTTCCTGGACAGATATTTACTTGCTTCATTCTGTGGCAAACAGAAGAAATATGTTGAAGAATTGTAAAGTAAAGTATCATTTGTAACCCTGACAGCAGTAAACTTACTTTATTCACATAGTATTTCGTCAAGGATTCAATTAAATGGGTATAATCAAACAAGTAATATGTATATCCGCACTGCTTATCTTTCTCTTTTGCATAGTTACCTTTCTTTGGCTGGGGTATGTGGGTAAATACATAGATGTATGTTATGATGAAATAATTCTCATCCTATCATCAGCTGGCAGGGTTTATTTTTGTACGCCGTAATTGGACGCAGGACCAAGAAAAGATTATCACAGCCTTTGACAAAATTAAGAGACTAGAGACACCAGCCTGGATAATCAATTACGTCGAGGGTTCTCGAGTGACATCAAAGAAGCTACAAGAATCTCAAGCATTTTCGAGAGAGCGAGGATACCCTGTACTACGTAATCTGTTATTACCAAGGATAAAGGGATTTGCTACATGTGTCAATGAATTTAGAGGGTCTCATATAAAGTATGTCTATGATTTTACATTGGGATATCGTCACAAGAGCAAGCTTGGACAGAGTGCACCTTCGATGGTGCGTGTACATGCAAGATCATTATGGCCAGAGTACGAGTTCCATGTTCATGTTAGACGGTTTGCCATTGAAAATATTCCTAAAGATGAAATTGAATTAGGACATTGGTTAAGGCAATTGTGGGTAGAAAAGGATAAGTTCCTGTCAGGGTTACATGATAACTGGGCTGATCATATTGATAAACAAACCATATGGAAGGAGTCCTCCTGGTGAGGGCACTTGTTTAATAAATGGCATAATTTTTCTCTTCTTTATTTTCTTTATGAATCATCATTTCAAATCAAATTTGAATGCTTTGATAAGATCAAGGTTAAACCACAGTTAACGCAACGCCAAGGGCGGTTTTATTTTTTCAAGGCCAACACTACATGCACCAGAAAATAAATTAATGCTACGGACGCTTCCTTGGGGCGCTACAAGTGGCATCATTTTACAACTTCATACTATCAAAGTCCCTATCTAACCTAAGGCTGTCCAGTGAAATTTTCACGTGACTGATCTGGTTCTTTGTTGATAGTACCTGACAACATAAAACTAGAATAAATTTCTTTTTTATCTCTTTCTTGAAAAGAAACAAATCAATATGAGGAAAAGCTTTGTTGGGTGACATCATAGGTAGTGGGTAGAGGTAGCACCTGTAATTGCAACTAATATAGTAATAATAGGAACAAGTCATCATATACCAATTGCAAAAGTACATATTTTATAATCTTAAAGAGAGCTTGGCTGTGGGGAGATAAAGCCTCTTGGAGCGCCTATTGCACTAATAGGAGAGGGCCATGCTCGACTTGCTGAAACGATGAAACGGCAACTTAACGTTCGAACCATGAAGGCAAAATCAAAGATTCTAAGATTGAATTATATGTTTTGACATTTAACTAAGAAAATGGATATCAATTGTACTTGCCGTGTACTATAATTCTGCCAACGACAACAAGTTTCTATTCACACATGGATGTAACTCTTGGCTTATTACTTTCTTTCAAGGTACAGAGCTCATAATTTGCAATATAGTATCATGAGTTACTAATATTACTATTCCTTTTATCATTAGAATATAATTGCATCCTTGCTAGATGACACCGACATCACAGAGCCATATATTTTCAATGAATATGCTCCATTGCTGAAGCCAACAGTTGCATTTGTTAATGAATAAAAATAAGCTGTTTATTTTATTTATGCGCAATACTTAAAGTAACAAAAAAAAAAAAAAATCATGCGACTCGAGATAACTTCATAACGAAGCTTCTATTCTCATTTTTCCTTTTTTCTTTTTCTTTTTTTTCTTTTGTTGATGAAATTATTAACCCATTTGGTGGTTATTGTCTTTATTGCTTACACTTCTTACAGGTTTATACATCAAAATAACATGACACATCAATACAAGACAGTCATCATTGTTGGCAGTGGACTTGCTGGTCTCTCGGCTGCTATTGAAGCACATTATCAAGGAAATACTCGTGTCATCTTGATTGAAAAAGAGGATAAAATAGGGTAAATAATAATTGAGGGTCATTTCATAAAATAATAAAAGCCAAAAAAAGGGGTAATTCAATGAAGGCAACTTCTGGTATAAATGCAATCGAACCTTTGACGGGTGATAATCGTGATGCTTTCGTACAAGACACGTTAAAATCGGGTGGTGGTTTAAGTGATGAGTCACTGGTCGCCAAATTGGTTGATGAAAGTAGACATGCTCTTGACTGGTTGATCAAACAAAGTGAATTCGAAACAGACATACCCTCACTCGATCTATCCGTCGTCTCACGTTGTGGTGGTCATTCTTTTGGCCGTACTCACCGCTGTCCACCACAGAATGGTCGTCCTGTACCTGTAGGATGGAAGCTGATTGATACCCTCAAGAAGCGCTTCATGTCTTTGCCTGATACCAAAGTGCTGACTAATACACGTGTCACCAGACTGTTGACAGAGCAAGATAAAATAACAGGTGTTGAGATTTTGAATGAGGAAGAGAAACGCGAAATTCCTGCTAATGCTGTCGTTTTGGCTACTGGGGGCTATGGCGGTCAAACGGGTACTCGATTACCAGATGGACATGCCACGCTCTTGAGTGAATTTGCTCCTCAGTTGGTTCATACAGCAACAACAAATGGACCCTGGGCTAATGGTGATGGTATCCGTCTAGCCTTGGCTGTAAAGGCTGGCTTGAGAGATATGGTATGGAGAAGAGGTATATGCCTTTTGCAATATTTGTTGACCATCTCTCTTTTATAGGACCAAGTTCAGCTTCATCCTACGGGTTTTGTTGACCCTAACCAACCTACCTTGTCCACAAAATTTCTTGCCCCTGAGGCATTACGTGCCTATGGAGGCATTCTTCTGAACGGTGATGGCAAACGCTTTGTGGATGAACTCAACCTTCGTGACCGTGTAACAGATAAAATCCTTCAACAAACAAGCACAGTATACCGCCGACCTGAGAGCTGGATGCACAAGATTCTCCCCAAAAAATACCCTGCAGCTTACCTAGTGCTGACAGACGAAGCGGTTGAAAACTTTGGCAAAAGTACACTAGGATTTTACGCTTCCAAGGGTTTTTTTGTTCAAGTGGAAGGCATTGGCAATTTGGCAAAGGATGTCTTGGGTGTAGACAAGGAAGAAGTTGAGCAAACATTCAAAGAACATGATAGCCATATCGAAAGTGCATCGCCTGATGATTTTGGAAAGACTGTGTTTCCCAGTCGATTGTTGCCAGAAACCCCAACTACCTATTGGGTTGCTCTTGTTACGCCTGTAGTGCATTATACCATGGGTGGCCTCAACATGAACACAGATGCTGCCATACTGCGTCAGGATAATCAAACAGTGATTCCAGGTTTATATGGAGCAGGTGAAGTGACAGGAGGTGTGCATGGACGTAACCGCCTGGCTGGCAACTCTCTCTTAGAATGTGTTGTATTCGGAAGAGCCGCTGGTCGTAATGCTGCCATTTACTCCCAAAGCTCCTAATACTTTTCAAAAATAAATCATCTCTTGTTCAAAATCATATATATGACTGTGGTTTTGATGATGTATTCTAATTCGTTTTACAATATAGTTGCGCTGCATCTTGGGTGAATAGCTATCTGTTGTATAAATGTGTGACGAGAACAGCCAAAGGTGTCCATTTATAAACACTCGTGGTGGAAAGGGTTGAATGGCTGGATAAGGCAGTAAGCATTTACGAAAGAGTGTCGAAATTAGTAGTGCCCAAGGGTAAGAAGCACATTTTATATCTCAAGAGCAAAAGTATGTCTTGGATAGATAATCTTGAAAAGTTTGAAGGGCCAATAAAGGTATGACTGTAGGGTTTATTGCTGTAATAAAAAGACAATGGGATTGTAATTGTACTTTTCCTTCCATCTTTGAATGATCAGCACATGTAATGTGATGGATTCCTTTAGTACGCAAGAGACAGATCGAACTTGTAAATCAGGCGCAATAGACAATAAAGCAAATGTAATTGATATAGTGCTTCCCATGGTGAATACTTTGCTTGATACGCTGATGTCATAGCTCAATTTATCCACCCAGGTATTGGAAATCACCATAAGCTGTGTCAATTCGAGGGAGGAAGAGAGGAGCATACGAGAAATGTGTATTGATTTTCGATCCGTTAGTTTATAGAGAAAGTAGGTCACTCGACAGCTGTCTTTAGATAATAGTATACTTGGGTTTTGCTATTTGCACAGCAAACAGCATATCTATCGTATTTACCTTATAAGAATTTCATATTGTAAAAAAAATTACTTAAAAACAAAAGAAAACTGACCACAGAATGCGTTATTCTTATAGACGTGTCATGCCCAATTTTCATTGGCCCGTGATGAATTCATACAATAATATTGCTTTCTTGTAAAATGCTGTTATTTTTAATGAGCTTTCAGCATAATAAAGAAGTTATTACAGACTCATCGACACATGCTTCTCTTATACTTCAGTGTTGTACATGTGTTGTGCGGGTGTAGTTTGTCCAGTGCTGTTTGCTGTGCAAACTGAATTGCTTACGTTACTAATTGGGAAAATGCTATGCAGATGTGCTGTGCAAATAGCAAAACCCGTATACTTGGCCTAATTCATGATCTACGGTCGCCGGTAGCTTGATCATATGATTAAGCAGTATAAAACTAGATGTCCCTCTCTTGATGATGACCCTTTCGATTTAGAAAAAAGGTTTCTTTATTTCTTGCAGTGTTTCTTGTCCCCTCTTTTATTCCTTTCATTCCTTTCATTTTCTTTCTTTTTTTTCTTTCTTTCTTTCTTTCTTTTTTACAGTGCTTAGGCTCAAGGCATCATTTGTTTACGTGTCATCTTCTGATTCGTCATCATATATATAAGATGTTAGTTGTTGGTATGCTCTTTGTTTAAGTGATAGACTATAGATCTACAACAAAATGCGTAAAAGAAAAAGAAAGTATATTCAAGCTATTTATATGTACCATATCCAAGTCATGTAACAGATCCTTCATAGTTGCGATATCTTTCCTTTGTTGTAATTGTCCCAAGGGTATATTTATGTTCAACTCATTTAAGCGTATTAAACACGGACGGATGGTATCTTTTTCAAATTTTTCAAGCATCTTGTTAGCGGAATCTATCTCATCCTGATACTCTTTTATGTTTGATCTATTGTAGACGGCATATATGTCAGTATTTCGTTATACATGTTTCTATATAGCAACTTACTCTAACATTGAAAGCACTTGAGGTAAACCAGTCATTATCTCCCTGTCATCATATAGACACTGTATACGCGATTTGTATCCTTCGATTTGAGCATTCAAATCAATGATATCAAATTCATTTGCTTGAAATGAATGACCTAGATTATCTAGCTCCAAGTCTATGTCATCTATCGTTGCCTCCTTTTCTAGTATGGATTGCCAGTCCTTTAGCACGTGATTTATCGTCAGAGATAGTTCCTCATCGTTTTCAAAGTAGTCTTCCTCTTCTTGACTATCAATCTCTTCATCTATTGACTCCATGATAGTATTTAATATGTCGTCATGCTATTGAATACGATTAAAAAAAGCATGTAGACTATTTATTGTAGTATTTACCTGTTGCTTTAGTTTATCAATGTTTTCGTCTGTTGTTTCTTCTTCTTGCTGAAGCTCTGCTAATTCATTTTCTAAGCCATGAAGTTGTTTTTGAAGGTCATTGTATATTTCCCTATAAACTAGTTGTTAGTTATGTTTTTATTTGTATTAGTTTATACTTTACGTCAGGTCAGTGTATTGCTTATCTAGAATGCTGATTTGGGTGGTGTATGGATTACGTTGTCGTCTATTGATATCATCAGTAACCTTACGCGTCTTTTTTATTTTTATTTCTTTCTTTCTTACTTTGGAAAACGTTCTACTTCTCTTTCCCATTCGTCTTCGTCTTCAACTTGATCAAATTTTCTCTTTAATAAATCCATTATTTGAAAATTAAAAAAAAAAATAACGGGAATAGAAAAAAAGGGAGGATAAATATTTCTTTCCTTTTTTTTTTTTTTTAAAAAAAAAAAAGAAAAAAACAATGACAGAAAAGCATATTGAGGTCTTGAGGGTAGAACAGAATGTTGTGTCAAAGGAATTAGCCAAGTTCAGGCCTTGTGACAATGAAACGCGCAGTATGTATTGTCGTGAGTGGGCACAATACGTCTACAAGAAACACTTTGTTTGGAATGCAAAGACACAAGAGGACGTTGACAGGGACCATGCTGCGTATATGAATGCAGGAAAATACCAAATCAAAGTTATACTAGATGAGTCTGATCTATCAGAAGAAGAGAAAGATCTGTATGAAAAGGAACACTCGACAGTTTTGATCAAGCAATTCGAAGAACTATTGAATACGATCAGTGACCTCAAGACACAAAAGGAAAAAAGCCTTGTTCAATTGATTTCGCAAGCATGTCGACAATGGATGACATTACCTACAGGTCGTTCTGGACTGCCTGATTTATTTGAACCTGTCGAATTCAACTCATATCCAGACAACATTCCACTCGTCGATGATGACCAGGATCCTTCTCAACTCTTGGACCCGCTCATCATTGAACGACAGGCTTTGTGTTTACCCTCCGACTGCTTCCACTTGCTCAAGAGCATGACAGGAGATATCATCATCTCTCACACAACGCCTACTTGCAACCACAAGAAACCCACGTCAAAGACACCCGCGGACCTTGAAGTCGACCGAACTATCCTGACAGAACATGAGCAAGCTGCTGTCAAAAAGGCGCTGGAAGAACTTGCTATTGCTCTAGACAACGTCTGGAAGCCACTGAACACGTTTTTAGAGCAGCTTGAGACACAAGACAAGGTTCGATCCAAGTTGTTGGGTGCAGACTGTCAAGAGACGATCGATGCGTTTTTTGCCAGTCAAAAGTACGTGCCCTTTGTGGATGAGTGGACGAACAATCAGTTGCCGAATTGGAAGAAGATCAAGAAACCATCGGAAGAAGATGTCAAGAAGCTGGATAGTTTTGTTCAAGATCATTTTCGTCACTTGGGATCACTCGTCGACCAGTTCTTGTCTGAATTCGTCACAACTCGGTTCCGTGATATTCGCGAGTGGAATATCAATCTCTGGAAGATGATTCATCCCACCATCAAGGCCATGGACGAACGTATCTCCTCCCTTGAGCTTCTTAGAGGGAAACAATCTTCGACAGACAAGAGTTTACGCGCACTTAACGTAGACTCTCTCAAAAAGATGGAAAGCACCAAGGAGGTTGATTCGTCTGAAAAGAGAATCATGGCAGAGCTAGAAAAGCGCGTAAGTGAATATAAGAAAGACATTGAGGAACTGATCAAGTCTTATTGTGAATCATCGCGTCCTACTCTGGCTAGCCGAATGGACAGATTGAACAATAAGGACTTTAAAAAGAAGATTAAGAAAGTCGAGAGTGGGTACTATGTCATTCGTCAGTTCTTCCGTTATGAAATCACTGAAAATGTGTTTCCCGAATCACTCTTTGGCCGATTTATGCTGATCTGTTTGAAACCGTTGATGCAGGAAGGTGAAGTCATGGAGGCAATGACGATCGAAAAGGAAGTGCAGCGATTTATCGAGTCCCACAAAGATCTCCTGCAGGAACGCTGTATCTTGCTCTCTCGTTTTGAGGAAGGTGTACAGACAGGTAGACGAGAATTAGCTGGTGTGGTTGGTAAATTGCTGTTGAAGGAAGGCATGCGTATTCAAGGTGAAACTGTTGCTCTTCAGCGCCAGAACAATCTGCTCAAAGTCTTTGGTGTGGATCCCGTAGAATCTACCAGTAAAAAGAAGAAGAATAAAAAGAAAAAGAGTGCTTCTAGCGGTGCGTCGACTCCATCCTTACAGGAAGAGCCAGCTCCTGCTGACAACAAGGAGTCTCCCATCAGTGTCAATGCAGCAGCAACAGCAGCCAAGAAAGCAGTAGAGCCTAAAAAGAAGGCTGGTTCTACTACTGCTACAGAAGAACCCAAGAAGAAGAAATCAGTTGAAGAACCCAAAAAGAAAGTGGAGCCCAAGAAGCAAGCTTCGTCAGCTGAAGGAATGATCAAGAGTGCAGCAGTTGTGGCCGCTTCTGAACCCAAGAACAAAGAGCCTGTAAAGGAGGAAGCCAAGCAACAAATATCCCCTAAAGCTGCCAACACGACAACGCAACAGCCACCAGCCTCTCAGCAAGCTGCACCTAAAATACCCGCTGTTCCTGAAAGCATCAAGAGGGCTGCTTCCATTAAGTCTACCAAGCCTGCTGATCCAGTTAATCCAAGTACTGACACTCCAAAGAAGGCCCGAATCTCATTTGATCCTAGTAAGGGTGCTGTTCAGGCCAGGGTTATTGACGACAAGTCACCAGCTAATCCACCTCGCTCAGACAAGAAGTCTGCGGAGCCCTCTGTTGGTAATGAATGGCCAACACTTGAGTCAGAATCCAAGGGACAAGGTGCTATTAGTGAACCGGCAAAGGAGAAAAAAGAAGAGGTATCGAAAAAAGAAAATGATGTGCAAGGATGGGCTGACATCGTTGCTTCTGTTACAAGTGATATAAAGAAAGAAACTTGGAACGGCGCACCAACCAAGGCAGATGAAATCAAAGATGGAGGTTGGGGTAATGCACCAGCTACATCAAATGAAGTTAAAGATGAAGGCTGGGGCAATGCGTCTGCTGAACCAGCTGTTGAGCCAGTTACTGCGCCAGAGATCAAGCAAGAAGCCACTACAACAACCGAGGGTTGGGGCGATGTTGTTACAGAGATATCCAGTGGTTGGGGGGATGAGCCAAAGGTAGAGACAAAGCCTGTAGAGATAAACGATAGCGAGGGTTGGGGATCGATCGACACTGTGAAGGCCGACACAAATGATTGGAACACCATTGCTAAAACTGCAGAGACGTGGGGTGAGACTCAAGTGCCTGCTGAAGACAATTGGAGAGCCACAAAGGATCGAAGGAGCGGATGGAATGATAAGAACGAAACCCAGACAAAGGGAACGAATGGATGGGATAACACACACAATAATACGTGGGATAGCATGAAGCAGGACGTTAAGAAATCTGAACCTGAGTGGCGTCGTAAGGACAAGCCATCCAGCCAGTCTTGGAGAGAATTGAATAACAATACGGAAACAAAGACCAAGAAGAACGAGGATAACTTGGACGGCTGGGGACGAAAGAAAGACTGGGAGCCTTCTGGAAACAGTCAAAGAGATACAAAGGAAGGATGGAGATCTTCTCCTACAAGCAATGACAAGAAAGTCAAAGACGGATGGTCGTCATTGAAGGGCACTGGTGGTATGTGTCTATTTTCTTTGAGAAAAGACGAGTTTAACCTATATTTTTATAGAGCCTTTGGGTGGTTGGGGTAACCCTTCAAGTGGTTTTACTGACAACTGGGGCCAGAAATCTTCTTCACGCGAAGCTACATTCCAGGACAACAAGTCGACTCCCAAACCTAACTGGAACAATGCGCAAGTGCCTTGGGAGGCCAGTGGTTCAGCACCCCTTGATTCAGTGGAGCGACCTAGCACGTTCTCCAGCAATGACACTGGTTTCTCTGTGACTCCAACTCCCTCTGCTTCTCAAGCCAGTATGTCTAAGCCTCCTGGATTGAGCGTGACAACGACAACCAATGAAGCTTCTAGCCTGATGTCAACTGGAAACACACCACAATCGATCGTTCCCCCTTCCTCTGGTCTACCCGACATAAAGGAGATGAATAAGCCTATCTTGCCTTTCACACCACCTGGCCAAACGGTGTTTATGTCGCCTTTAAGCACCGCTGCTGTTCAGTTGCAAGAACCTCTTCCGGCCAACATTGATGATTTTGGCAAAGACATGTTACTGCTCATGGTCAAGAACCTTCACCGTGAGAATAGTACGCTGATCAGTACAGTCTACTCATTACAACAAGATATGGCCATGATGAACCAAAGATATGCAGAGATATTGGCACTTGCTCGTGAACGCGAAGCTCAAACCGTGCAATTATTAGAAACACGCAAACAAACTGAATTAGAAAAGGCCAAACGATACTGTATCTCATTGGAATCGCGTGTTAAAGAGTTGGAAGAGAAAGTAAGAGGTGGTTATCATGATCGCACTACTGCTGGATTCGAAAACCAAGATTTATTTGCTGGTTACAGAGATGAGATGAATAGTGGCAGTAATAATAATAGTAGTAACAACCATAGCTTCCATCAAAATCGAGGCCATAGAAAGATGTGGTCAAAGGCAACTGTCATTCGTTGTGGTAATTGTGGTGAGACAGGCCACAGTAGTGCCGAATGCAAGGTAAATATAGCCTATATAAAAAGTTAATATTTCATATTAACATTTCTTTATAAAGGGTTATTGTAGATATTGTGGAAGCTTAGAGCATTTATCTGAAGCATGTCCAATGAACTAATGTGTATATTTTATAATACTTAATAAAAAAAGGGGGGAATTTATTATATTTACAACAAATTAAAAAAGTGCCCTTGAATGCAAGTTACAAAACGATGAAAAAAAAGAAAGGGTATTTAAGAGACAAGTATTGAGTTATCTTGTCTATATGTCTCTGTTGGTTTTGATCCGAGTATGCTGATATCCTTATTGATGATATTATTTGCTTGTTGTTGAAGTAATTGATTTTGACGTTTTAATGAATCAACCTGCATCTTGAGTTGTTTGTTCTCTTCTTCTATGATATTTAATCTATGCAGCAATTTTTCATTTGCTCGCTTGTGGTCAGTGACTTGAGATTCAAGTGTATTGATATATTCTATAAATACAGTCAATAAAAAAAGAGCATAAACACTAACTATATTTACCTTTTCTTCTAACTCGAAAGTTACGTGCAGATATCTTATTTCTCAACTGTCTTCTTTCCTTTGACGACATATTCTTGATATCAATTCCATCTGCCTCAGCCATTGTTTCCAAAGACAGCAGTTTCTCATTCTCTTCTATTTTGCACTCCATACTTGCGTGACTTGTACTTGATGCACGCCTTTTTGTGTTTGATTTACCATGTTTGATAAGTGATTGAGGTGATACTGTATCAGGAATGGCAGCAGTATCCGTTGGATCATGTGTGGATAGGATGGTATTAGGCATACCATCGGGTTCAGGAGTTAGTTGTTCTCGAAGGGCCAACTGTCTTTTGGCTAGTTCAATCAGCTGCTTAATTTGTTCAACTGAGGGCATGATAAGTTGCGTAGTAGAAGGATAGAGGCAATCAAAGGTACTTGCAGCAGTAGAAGGAGGGGAGAGGAGACCGGTATCTAGAGTATCTTCTTGCTTGATAAAGATGTCTGTTTCAGGAGAAGTTAAGGTAGGATCAATAACATCAGAGCTAAGCCAATCCATGTCAACGATATCTTCAAATTGCATTTTGGTAGTAAAGAGAAAGAAAGAAAGAGAAGAAGGATGAAAGGGAAATGACTCAAAAAGTTTTAATGAAAAGAGGAGTTTCAAAACAAAGTTTATAAACATAACCCCCTCTTTATTAAACAACAACAACAACAATCCTTCAAAAGTCTCATCCCTAATATTCCCTTTTCTATATCTCCTCTTTCTATTATGATATTTCTCTCTTTCTCTTTTTGTTCTTTGTCCTTTGTATTTTTTCTTCATTGATTTTATATAAAAGGAATAGTTCGAGTCATGTCGTTCATGCATGGAATCTGTTTAAACACACGCTGCGTTTTAATCAGGCTACACAAAGAACTCTTGTTGGGCATCAAAACAAAATGGAGAATAATTTTACATCATGCTGAAGTCAAATAGACTGTAGTTATTGTGTTATTCGAGGGCCTATTAAACATTCCGACTTTTTGTAATAAACAAAATAACAACAATCAACAATAATCAAAATAAATAAAGAAATTACTCTTTTGGATAAAATTGTACGCTTCTTTAATACGCATTGTATGACACGTACAGGGAGAACACGCTAAATTAGATAATCCCATCTGTTTCATATAAAGAATCTTAACATAGTCAATCGTACATTAAGCTATTTATCCTTTTCTCTCTCTCTCTTTCTCTCTCTCTTTCTCTCTCTGTTTATCTTTCCCAGTTGATCCATCTTGATTTAATTTATCACCAATTAATCAATATATCTATCTATAATAGTGATCTTATCAAACTACACAAGTCTTTATGAATCATTTATGTAATAAAAATATAAGGGGGAACTTATCGCAGCTTAGGTCATTTAATTGTTTTCCGAACGACCTGACATTTTTTATAGACCGACAGAAAAAAAGATAAATGGCTGCAATTGAAGCCGCAGAAAGGGTTGATCTTTATAATGTCAAATCGTATACTATTATTGGTCGGATTGCCTGGTTCAGGAAAAAGTACACTATCAAAGGAACTTGTGAAATGTAAATCGGTAAAAAGAAGATAACAGCAAGGTTATTTTCAATTGTAATAAATTCAATTAGGGTTGGGAAAGAATCAACCAAGACGACATGGGTTCAAGAAAGGCATGTGAAATGCACGCCAAGAGATTCTTGAACAAAAAACTCAGTATTGTTATTGATCGCTGTAATTTTGACGAAAAGCAAAGAAAGACTTGGGTAGACCTTGGTCAAAAGTATAATGTGCCTGTCGATTGCATTGTCTTGACAACCACTGAGCAGGTATGCCCTTATTCTCTTTGAATATCACTAATACAGTTCTGAAGGAATGTAGTGAGCGTATACAGTGTCGAGAGGATCATCCTACAGGTGTCATTGGTGATTCAGGTGTACAGATATTGAAAAAGTTTATGAGAAATTATAGACCACCGAGAATAGATCAGCTGGAAGGAATCCAAAGAGTCCTTTACCTTGATCCAAGTCCTGAGCCTTATTGTACTCCTGAACGCATCGATACCATCTTTCATCTGCTGGATCAGTGTCCTATATTGGAACAGATGGAAGAGAACTAAATTTTAGCTACGACTACAACAATAAACACACTTTTAAATCACTCTACTTGATCTCTAAAAAAAGGAAAACAATAGTAATAAATAGCTGCAGGAGGCTCCCCAGATGACATGATTTTTTTTTTCAATGGGATATCACACAAACGTTGTGTGTGTGTGTGCGTCTGTGTCTTTATGATCTAAACAAGGATCTATTCAAATTTTTTTTCTTGGTTACTTAATTTGTTCATAAGCTATTATTGTTACAGTAACCGTTTTTGTAAAGTGTCAAAATGCTGTGCTTATAAAACTCACCTTTTCTTTTTCTTTCCCTTCTTTCTTCTCACCACAATCTCTTTCTCTTTCTTTCTAAACATAAAATGGGTTGTTGTATATCTTATGAAAAAGTAAAAATACTTAAAAAGAGAGACTATACATGTATTAACATACTTGCAGTCATCAACAATCGAAGTCATCTTGGATGAAAATGGTGTAGCTCATCGCGTAGCAGAAGGAAAAGGCACTCACATCATACGTACTTATCCTGATAAAGAAACCAAAATTGAACGAAAACCGCCTACAAAACCATCAGAGATCTCATCACTATCACGTCCAGATGCAATCTATTATCCCAAAAAGAGTCTCATGACTGTCTCATGTTTTCCATCTCGTAAGGTTCGACCGGGTGAGCCGATTGATGCTTCGACCATTCAAAATGAAAAATCTTAATCTGTTCGTGTATCTATTTGTTATTATTATTTATAGTCTTTATATATTATTAAGGATTAAAGTGAATCTTTGTTGCAAATCAGGGCTTAGACGTTTTTTAATTTTATTCTATTTTTGGTTTGCATTGTCACACGAGCCTATTTTAATCCTCAAGGTTTCTACTTGGCGTAAATCCAGATGAAGAAGCATGAAGAGGGATCATTTGATATTGTCCTTTTTCTGTATCAGCTTGTTTGGATAGTTTATAATAGTTGTATGCAATAATACCAACAATGGACACAAATAACCTAAAATAACAATTAGTTTCCTCATTATTTGAATTTATGTAAACCTACCCTAAAAGGTTCTTGGGAGTCAAAACATCACCATAGATCAAGACAGATAACGTGATGATTACAATTTCCTTGCTAATACCTGCTACACTCAGCGTGATGGTGTTTGTGTTCTTGATCAAGTAGAGTTCAGCTAATGTCATTGCAAATGCTATATGAAAACAGTCAATAAACAACTATCAGAATATCGCTTTTCATTACCCAAAAATCCACCAATCGACATGAGCCCAAGCGATTCGACAACATGTGAAATTGTATCAAAATGCTTCGAATGTTGAAACTGCTCCAACGGATGCTCCAGTATCAAGCTGAGTGTAAGCATAGTGATAAACATGATCGGACTGAGATAATACAAGGTGGCAATAGGATTATCAATACCCAGTCGTTCATGCTGTAACAGTAGCTGTGTCATACTCCACCGTAGACCAGATACGATCGATGCTACCAACACAAGGGAAAATCCAAGGGTATCGAATTTAGTCTCTCCTTCGACTGTCAAGATGACACCTGCGACCATAATCAGTATGATGCTGATGAGTAAAAACTTGGGTTTTTCAAATCCAAAGAGGAATGAAAAGATCAACACCCAAATGGGCGTACTTGATTTAACCATGGTATAGAATGAAAGAGTGATATATACAAGTGAGGCATTAGAGCAGCATATTTCAACTGCTGCTGCAACACCACAAGGGACCTAAAGAGATCACATCAACTAAACTTGCTCTCTTTTTTTTATTTTTTTTTTTTTTTTTTTGTGAGGAATAAAAAACAACTTACGACTTTAAATAAATAATCATATATTGACATCGAGCTTGACAAACCACTATTCCATCGATTCCCTCCAAACCACATCATGATGCTGGTGATCATAAAATGTAAGCCTGCATGAATCGAACTGACGAGTAAAGGAAAGTTAAAGTTGAATCGATCTCGACCCATCAGGTTTTTGTTGTAGAGTGATAATGAAGTTGAGAAAAAATACCACATCATAATATAGGATAAATTCTTGATGGTATTTTCATGTCGAGTAATATATTGACCCTTAACATCACTCTTGGGATTAGCAATATTGATGGAAACTAACTTTTCTGAAAATGGCATAGAACGAGTCGTAGGTGATGACACAAATGGTGATCTCAGGGGCGATCCAAATCCATCACTGGCTGGGACATGAATAGCTGGTAATGAACCTCTTCGGCTCTGTTTCTTCTTTTGAGTTACTGGTTGCGTTGCTATCGACTGTGTTCTACTGTGGAATTTTTTGCGATTGTTACTATGGTTACTGTTGCTAGCAGAAGGTGGGTAAATTTGGCCCTTTTTATGGCCCTTTGATAAAACATCTTTGTCTAATTCTATTGTCATTCAGTGAATAATAAAAGCAAGAGAAATAAAAAAGAGAGGAGGGACGCCGCACAGTTAATGATATACACACGTTTTAGACACTTGTATTGAACTCCGCAAGATAATGAATTATAGGTGGTCTTGCAGCCATAAAGGGAAAGTTGAAAAGATCGCGTAAGAAATATAAATGGCCAAACATGTGATCATTGTTTGGGCTCGCTCATATTCTTTAATTACGCATCATACAACGAATTCATTATTCACAGACGCCTTTTTGTGTGCCTAAATTGATAGAACCAAACCATGTGATTCTTTGCTTGAAAGCAAAGAAAGATTGAGAAAGGGAGGCAATTAGCCATAGAGAAAAAGCAAGAGAATAAAGTGAATTATGATGAGTCACCAACTACTGAAAAGATAGCTTATGGTTCGCTTTATTCTGATTAAGCATGAATCATTGTTAGCTTAAAGTTGATGATAGTAAAACATTACTGAATCATCTCCTGTTTATAATATGCTACGGCTGCAGCATTAGCTCTCATAGTGATGGTGCTTCAGTATACAACAAATCGTGACTGAAAGCATTTAGATCTCCGCGTGTTTCCAACCAACTGTAAAAAAAGGGTCCATCTCTATATCTATTTCTTTTCTTCTTTTCTCAAACATGTCTTTGAATATTACTCAACAACTAGAAAAACCAGTATATCCACTTAACACTTCTGAGTTCGCCGAATATCTTGATAAGGAGGATAAGTTTTCCAAGTTTCGTCAAGAGTTTGTTATTCCTACAAGAAGATCCCTTTTAAATGATGATCAAGCTACAGGTAAGACTGATACAAGGCCAAAAGGAAAGCAGATAACTAAATAAACTGGATACTAGATGATGCAGTATTAGATGAAGAGTGTACCTATCTATGCGGTAACTCATTAGGTTTGATGCCAAAGCGTGCACGCCAATTAGTCAATGAAGAACTTGATGCTTGGGGCAGAAGGTAGAGAGTTGAACAGATTCTTCCAGTTGCATTATTAAACGTGGGACTGTAGAGGTGTAGAGGGACATTGGAATCATCCATACAATAGACCATGGGCAACCATAGATGAATTAGTAAAGGAACCACTAGCTCGACTTGTTGGTAACGATCATGAGAAAGTTCTTTTTCAAAACATCATAATAACCCTTTATTTTTTTTCTAGGTGCAAAACCGATTGAAGTTACTGCCATGAACACGCTCACTTCTAATCTTCACGCTATGCTCGTCTCTTTCTATAGGCCAACAGAAGAGAGGTTCAAGATCTTGATTGAAAAGAAGGCATTTCCTTCAGACCATGTAAGCCTTTGCAGAAATACGAGAATAATTTTCTCATGGGTGTATCCCACCGTAGTACGCTGTATCGTCTCATCTCCATTCTCGTGGCATTGATCCCAACGTCGGACTTTTGACCGTAGCGCCTCGTCCAGGAGAACAGACATTGCGAACAGAGGATATCATTGACTTCATCAAGAAAGATAAGCAAATCGCTGTTGTCATGCTTGCTGGTGTTCAATACTATACTGGTCAGTTCTTTGAAATCGAAAAGATCACAAAAGCCGGCCATGAGGCAGTAAGTACATGTAAACACATGTATGTCTGTACTTACGTTTCGTCTAGGGCTGCATTGTCGGTTGGGATCTTGCTCATGCTGTCGGCAATGTGCCTTTGAAGTTACATGATTGGGGTGTCGACTTTGCATGTTGGTGTTCATACAAGTACCTCAACTCAGGTGCTGGAGGTATCGCAGGATTATTTGTTCATGAAAAGTACAAGACTGACTTTGAGCGCCCAAGGTATGTATAGTAAAAATGAAACAAGACAGAACGATAAGTTGAGATGATATGCTTAGGTACGCTGGATGGTGGGGAAATCAAAAAGAGAATCGATTTGAAATGCTGCCCGAATTTCGTCCAAGCGAAGGTGCCTCAGGTTATCAGCTAAGTAACCCAAGTATATTGGCAATGAACTCTCTCTTGGGGTCACTTCAAGTGTTTGAGGCAGCTGGAGGTATTAAGGAATTACGTCAAAAGTCATACTTGATCACGGGTTATCTCGAGCGACTGCTTTTGAGCGAACTAAAAGAGGAACTTGATCACGACCTTGTGCGCATTCTTACACCTAGTGATCCAGAACAGCGTGGATGTCAGCTGTCGTTGGAGTTTCCTACCAAGATGATGGAAGTATTCGATGGTCTTCATAAGCTTGGTATTATTGTTGATGAACGTAAGCCTACGGTCATTCGAGTTGCACCAGCACCACTTTATAATAGCTATAAAGATGTTTATCAATTCGTCAAGGGGTTAAAGAAAGTAATGAATCAGGTGTATGCCAACTAATAAAAAATGAATTTATTATATATAAATATATGGTTTGTATGTGTGCGTGTGCGTGTGTGTGTGCAAATGTTGTTGCATAAATATTCTATGTTAGTTATTAAAAAGAAGGAAAGGAAAGGATAAGGAAGGGATAAAGGTAGTATGTTGATAGTAATAGTAATATATGATAATAAAGATGATAGTACTAATGATAATAATATAATAATATAATAGTAGTAGTAGTAATAGTAGTGATAATAATAGTAGTAGTGAAAAGAAGAGAATATATATACCCGTAATGTATTCGTATGAAGTTATTCATAGCTTGCGTTTTTTCATATAACCTTCATTCTCTGGCTGATATTTACAATTGTTGGGATAGTTGTAGTTTTGAAATCCTAAAGGAGGGAGATCTCTATGTTCCAGTTTGGGTTCAGCTGGATATGAGGAGGATAGACTGTGGATAGAAGGTAACCTATTTGAAGGTGAAGGTGAAGGTGGTGGAGGAGGAGTATGCATAGTTTGAGGCATGAGTGGAGGAGAAGAAACAGAAGATGCTGATGATTTAGAGTCTCTGTGAGGAAAGTTGGCTGCGCTCTCATCAACGATTAACAAGTTTTGAGATCGAATGATAGTTCGCAACATATCTTCTATAGTCTTTAAACGTTCCTCAATGGCCTCCAGGGCTGCTTTACTAGGAGCGTTTCTTTTATCGTCGTTGACACTGGTAGAGGGATAAATGCAAGGAACTCCTGACTTTTCACAATTTCGACATGGGGTCTCTCCGTTACATTTTGTTTTCTTTCGTCTACATTCGCCACAAGCACTCACTATCTTGGCTCTTTTTCTACGCGGTTCAGTTGCTTGTTCGTCAAGTGGCATTGTTGTAAGAAAGAAAGAAAGAAAAAAAAAGAAGTAGGTAGGGAGAAAAAAGATTTAATAAGAAATAAATGCTGAATAATGATTGGATGATCTTTTTCTAGCTCAAGTCTGTTACAAAGAAACAAAGAGAAATGAATCTCCTCTGTTATTAACTATTACGTGTGCAATCTTGCTTGCTTGCTAAATAGGGGATATTAATTGACCCTGTGATCTCACACCATGTGAATGGTTGATATATTTTTTTGAACTTTTACTCCGAACAGTTTGCCAAGAACGACCCATTGTGGCTGAAAACTCAGCAAGGTACGCGGAGTATCCGGAATGAACGAACAGCGATCATGGTCAGCTGACGTGATTTAAATCAGAAGAAGGGCTTATTATCAAATAAAGGAAAACGTAGATTTTTTCCCTTTTGACATTAGTCGTTTATGGAATTCATTCTATATTCTAGTTTCCTTTTTGATATCAATTGACGATATTATCCATATATGACAAAGTCAATAAAATGAACAAACAGAGAATAGAGTTGACAGATACTTTCAGGGCGTTGTGTTCAAGAGGATGTTAACAAGTGGGTAACAACTATCGATGAATCATGTATAAATCAATCGAGTTATTCTCGTTGAATGTAGTGAATATCATATTCGCAGTAAAACAGTAGGAAACGATTTTCCATCTCTTGAATCACTATCTTAATTGCGCACACTCTAGAAGAATGATCCGTAACAAGCCGGAGCTGACAACAAACCAATGTAGATGTATCTAAAAAAATGACTCTGTATTTGAAGCAGTACAATGTGTTTCATCTAAGCTATAAATGGAGGCATCCTCTTCGTCTTCAAGTGACTTGATCGTATCTTGGCAGACTCTCTGTTTTTCCTCAACACACTTCTATGATTATTCTTTTAGACTTTGTACACATTGTATACTATGAATGATTGTATAGAAAATACTCAAACACTATATAGCGTATATTTCTCTTGAAGGCAATTTAAAATATATTCTCTAATTCTATTTAACAAGTGTAAATCATCCCTTATTCTTATCTTACGATTGTAGCTTCCTTTGTATTGAAACAATCTATCTTTTTAAAATGGGTCCATTCTAATTTTCAGAAGACCCATTTAATCATCCCTTTCTTACTGCAATGATAACAACATATGCCTTATATCGTAGATAAGGTGCTTCCCTTCTTCATTTTCCGTTATAGTAGCTCTACAATGATTAATGTTTCATATAACATCATACTTCGCAAGGAAAGTCCCCATTTCACTCAACAGAGCAACCAGTGTTTCAGGCTCTATTTTGAAGTAGGTTGTCATTAGATATAAAGGTGGCTTTGATGGCTTATGATGCAGTCACGCCAGGCCAGATTTCGCACTGAATAAAAATTGAAGTCAAAATTGTGTTGTTTTCTTATAAATTTGTTTATTTGTCAATATTATATAAAGTATCCATGTCAGCTAAAAACGTATTAACTAAAGAGCTTGGCTCTTGTCAACCTCGCGAATAAAAAAAAAAATACTGGGGTATTTATTACCTTAGAAAAGCAAGGCATTCATATGACGACATCTCTGTCATATTTGAAAGAATAAAGAGAACTATATCACCTTTAACAAACAAGGCAATAGTTAGAACCCATAAAATCAATGAAAGGTCAGAGATACAGCTTACGAGGACCATGGGAGGTAATCCATTCATACCATACGACCGTCTGAGATTAAAATTGCATAGAGTAAATATAAAGGTCTGTAGACAGACTATTATCAGCAGTTTGAAGAGGATGGAGTATGGCTCTTACTTTGTTGCTCATAAACCAGCATTGACAGTAGAGCACATGAAGAAAAGGCTTCACTGAGCCCAAGAACATGTTAACTGGACTGATGAACAATGGTCTAGCGTCATTTGGAGGCATGAGTTTCGGTTCACCGCTGCCAGTAACGATGGTGGCGTCAGAGTCATCAGAAAAGTTGGTGAAGGATATGATGCTAAACATGTTGTACCAACAAAGAAGTATAGCGGCGGTGAGGTAATGATTTGGAGCTGCTTTCATGCCAATGGCTTTGGCCCTTTGATCTTGATTGACGGTACAGTTGACCAAGACGAATACATTAGTATTTTAGTCCAAAACTGTAACTCCTGGTTCGTGCAACTCTGCCAGCAAGAGGACAAGGACTTCATATTCCAAGAGGATGGAGCTAGCTGCCACAACTAGCGGTTACACACACTGGTGGAAGAAAATCTACCAGATCAAGAACTTTGAGCACTGGCCCGCGTAAAACCCTGATTTGAACCCGATAAAGCGTGTTTGAGCCGCTTTGGATAATTTCATTAAGAAAAGAAGTCATGAGATAAGAAATGCTGAAGAGTTGAGTATTGTGCTGAGAGAAGAGTGAGAGAAAATAAGCCTTTGGGTTAGCGGTATGTTTGATTGGAAACACGAAGGCTCAATGCGAGACTGTACTTGCCGCAAAAGGAAGGCCGACAGGGTATTAATCTACTCTTTCAGTAAACACATCAAAGCTTATTTTTTATAAAATGTAGTCTTAGAGCACAGAGCAGGAATAGCGAAATGATTAGTTTACTATTGCTATGTGTATTCACTTGACTGGCAATGGGTGCTTATGACCTGTTTTTAGAACAGGGAGAGGACAATAAGGAACTAACCAATAAGATGGTACCGACTCTGTTCTCGAGGGCAACTCAATGATTTGGATATGAAAATCAAGCTATTCAGAATGTGATTGCTATCAAAATAAAATTTTGAGAGAATCAAGGAATATAAGATCCTAAATATACTTTGTCTTTGTGATGACATATAGTCTTGAGACTGCTAAATAGAGAATATTTTCTATGGAGACACATGCATTTCATAAGCTTTTAGATGCACCAAGAATTTCAGAGTATAAAGGGTGTATCAAGGGAAAGACTATTCAATTAATGCAACAAATGATATACTAAATTTTGATTGGATAAGCATACTGAATTATCTTGACTGTGCTGCTGGAGTCGTTCACCTAATGAAGGAAAAGCTCCTTTTTTATTTTATTGACGATATGAAAAAAAAGCGCGATTTACAGTCAATCATCAAAGAAGCTTCCTACGAGCCTATTCAATACTCTATTCATGACTATTCTTCTCACTCTGGAACATATTATCCTCAAAATATTACAGTCAATAATCCAACTGAACAGTCATCTAGATGGTCTTCTGGATCTCACGACCAATCTCAATATATCACCTTGAAATTGGAGAAACCTGTTATTGCGTGTAATTATAAATATATTTAACTTGAGCCATGACTCACTCTACCCTTGTAGGCGAAATACTCTTTGGAAAGTTTCATAGAAGTTGGTTTCATTTAAATAATCATGAAGGAGTACTCATTCTTTTCTTAAGGCCATGTCTGTAACCTAAAGGAATTTAAAATATTTGGAGGAATGGACCTTGACAATCTAAACGAATTACTACATGATGGTAATAATAAAGAAACCAGATGGGTTAGACTCTAACATTTGATTAGGCTTAACTAATGACAATGAAGCTGAAGTATTCCCTCTACGCTATACATACGATGACTTGGTAATCTATATGGTATATACAGTATATGAATTAAATAATTCCCAATAGGTGTTCCCAGTTCAATATATCAGGATTAGTCCAGTAGCTACATTTGGCAGAAGCTTCAACTATAGTATATGGTACGTTGAAATTCGCGGAATCAAAAAGAATAGCATTCTATCACAAGTATTTGATGCTTACATCAAAGTACTGTATGCATGAAGCTGTAATATAATGTCCTAACATTTTCTCAGTACAAGGAGTTAGAGACCATAAAGCTATGTCTCAAGCATTTTAGACAAAAGAATATGATGGATCTGTACCATTTGCTAAAAGAAAAGACTGGCGTTGAGTTCGAGCATCCATTAATTAGCAATCTTCATCAAGCGCTTGTGATAGATGGTAATTTTGATGAAGCAGAGCGCATCATCGACAATGCAGAAGCATCCAGTATTTTTGATCATTATGTACAGACGGTCAAGTATTCACTTTTATGGCAAGAAATTTATGCATCCAATAGCGGTAAACTGTCATAAACAAACACACACATTAGACACTCATTATTTTTCTTTCTTTATATATAGACGGGGACACCCCTTGTCCTAGAGGAGGCCATCAAATGTGCATTGACGTTGATAGTGGAAAAATCTATCTATTTGGGGGTTGGGATGGCTCAAAGGATTTATCAGATTTTTGGTGTTATAACATTGAGAAACAACGCTGGAAGCTTTTGAGCTCAGATACATTGGTGTATGTGAAAAAGTATTGCCAAGATGTACTCTTTTAACGTGGTATAAAATAGTGACGGTGGACCAAGCGCAAGGTCATGCCATCAGATATGTTTTGATCCAACAAAGAAATCTATATTTGTCCTGGGACGTTATATTGAACCCAGTACAAACACAACAATCGCAGACTTAACTGGCAATACATATGGGTCGGACTTTTATCAGTATTTTATAGAATTGGATCAATGGATCAAGATCAGTGATAATACACAGGTATATAGCATTGTCTATTTAAAGAACATTTTATCAAAGTATTTGTAGATTGACGGTGGTCCTCCTTTGTTATATGATTTACAAATGTGCGTAGACCCTGTAGATCGAATACTGTATGTCTCTGGTGGTAGAATTGCGGCTCCAGGATCGGCTTCCTATGCTTATGGTGGTCTTTATGCATATGATATGATAGCCAGCTCCTGGGAAACATTAAGGTAGGCGTTAAAGAAAGGTAGCATATACTAAATATTCTGATGTAATGGTATAGACATGATGAAATCACACAAGGCGCCCGCTCACCACATTCCCCTGATGAAGCATACTTGGCACGCTGGGCACCAGGAAACAGATCCCCTTTACCCATCCAAACCATCAAAGGACGCGCGGGGCATTCAATGGCCATTCACGCAGAAAAACGTGGAATATATATATTTGCTGGACAAAGGGAAAGAAGCCACTTGTCGGATCTATACTACTACTCAATTGATGAAAAAAAGATCAATAATGTCGTTGAAAACTTCTTTAAAGGTGATGGTTCAGATATTGGATATACTCAGAGAGCTACAATAGACGAAGATTTGAAAGAACTCTATGTATTTACAGCTTATGTCAACGGTATGCCTTCAAACACTGTGAAAAATCTCATTTGGGTGTACAGCATTGAAAAGAATCATTGGGAAAAACTGTACGAAAATGAAAGCCAAGACTCATGTTCCTCTAAGTGTATTGAAGGCATAGAGCCAACACCTAGGTTTGCCCACCAAGTAGTTTACAATTCCAAAACAAAGGTACATTATATCTTTGGAGGCAATCCTGGGGACCATAAGAATGAACACAGACGACTGAATGATTTTTGGGAATTGAAACTGACCAAGTAATTATCTTTGATTTTTCTTACACAAAATAAATACTAACTCCTCCTTTTTTTTTTTTTTTTTTTACACAGGCCAACTTCTGCACAAATTGTCCGCAAATGCATTTACCTCATTCGTGCACGAAAATTATATGAAATGTGTGATAAGAAGCTTCATATCAACAGAGAACGGCTAGAACTTAATTCAAGCATGAGAAAGGATACGATAGACGCACTAAATTATTTAAGAAACTATATTTTGCCGCTTGTTGATCACGAAAATAGGGAAGAAGTGGCTCAATTTAAGCAGCTCTGTTCACATCTTTGTATTCCAACTTATGAGAAAAATGATGCCAACCGTGAAATGCAAACGGAAGGTAATACATAAAAGACATTCATAATGCATGAGAAGTATTAATGTTCCAAGTAGATTTCACATTTGCTAGTAGGACAAAAGTATTTCAAAACTTGCTCGAATACTTTCCCAAGAACATGAAAGAACCTAACGGAAGCGTGATGGATTCCGTAAAAATTTTGTAAAAAGAAACAAAATAAATGAAAAGGGTGCTGCTGTAGACATATTCCGGCGGTGATACCAAAGTGAAAGAACAAATCATGACTTCTCGTTTATGACCTTCTACAAAATTAAGCGTTGTTAATAAACTTAAAGCTTCAATAAGGTTCACTTTGGCAGTTTATGTTGTTATAAAGCAAACGTCATGTTTATATCTGTATCATCTACCAGATTAAATGAGAATGCCCCAAGTAACGTCTGAACTTACGAATAGTCATGTAATATCAAGAGACATTTCTGCTATCATCGTTGTTCATCATTTCTTGAGGTATTGATCAGAACAATGGAAAATTATAAGAGAAGTATAAGTCAATGAGTCTCTATATAACCTCTTTATTGTATATTAAGACGAGCGAGAGCTCATTATTACAAACAACGTCATTTTATATGAAGATAGAATTATTAAGGAACCGATTTAATTATGTCCAACGATAGTTGGGCATATCGCGTTATATGTTAATAACATGTATTGTTGTCAGTATCTTTGCATTATTCATTCTTAGAGTATAGATTTATAGTAATCTCATACGACAAGGTCAAGTATTTATAAGGTAAATACGACATTTCTCTTTGAAGAAACAGCTGAATAGGTTGAAGGAAATCAAGAAATATCGATACGTTATTGCCATTGATAAAGTGAAATGCATGCAGGAGAGCTGTGTAAAATTCCGATGAAAAACAAATTGAATGACTAATGATCAAAAAGTACAGAATGAGTGTTATCTTACTACATTGAATCTTTGGTAATCAGATTATGAATAAAGCCTGTTTAACAAGTTACCTTGAGAGCAAATACAGTTGCTCATCTGATTAGAGATCGTTTATGAGCACCTCGTTGTCCAATCAATCAAAAAGGAAGGTTGAAATGCCATTGGTTTAATTATAGTATACGATTAAGATATATTGAAAAATTTATGTAAACTTTGAGGCATATTATTTGACTCGGGAACGCTCGTTCAAATAGTACAGCAGAGAAATTTGTAAACTTTTCAGTAAAACACCAACACCTCCAAGAGTGGCACTCTTTGCTACTACTTTAACTCATGAATAGGGTATTCACACATTTCATACCTCTGTAGATTGTCAGATTTGAATTATTGGCAATAATCATCTTTTAGAGCACTAAAGTGCCTCAAGTGACACTTTTTTTTTTTGAAATAATATCACTTGACACATAAACAAAAAATAGTTTGCCTAAGAATCTTACCAGAAATGTTATAATTATGCTTATCGGTTTATGAATTTGCTACATGTGCTACTAACGAAAGCTTTTCCCAAATAAGCAAACCTCACGGTTGAAAACAAAAAAAAAAAAAAAAAAAAGGAAGCACAAGTTCTACATGCAATCGCATCATGGCAGTTCATCTTTGTTGATCAAAGAACATAATAATTATCAATTATGAAATAAACGTAAAGAATATGTTGATGCATCCATAACTGAATGAAAGGAATTGCATTAAGCAAGAAATGAAAAGGAAAACACCTCTGCGTTACTACGGTCAAAACACTAAATAGTTTGCCCCTGAAAAAAAGAAGCTGCATATTAAAAGGACTCTAAACGCGTTCTTCCTTTTTTTCCTCTTTTCTTTCCTAGTTCCTTTCAAAAGATACTTCTTTTATTCATCTGTGAAAAAACAATATATCAAGTGTTGCTCTATTCTTTATTATTCAAAAAGATAAGCAGACTTAACATAGCGTACCTCGGATGTGTCCCATTTATGTTTACAGTAAAAGAAAAGACTGAGTTACTCCACTCTTATCGTGTTTTGAAATTCTGCTACGTTTTTGTCTTGCTGTTATACTTTTGCTACTTTGGTGTTCTGCTACGCCTTTATCTTGCTGTTGCGCTTTTGCTTGCTCTTTTGCTACTTTGATATTCTGCTATCTGTGCCTACGCTATATCTATCTATATACTACTGGTATTTTGACATTATGCTACGCGTTTTTCTGCTCTTGATGCTCTGCTATCTTATATCTCCTGTATCTCTGCTCTTTTGCTTTATGACTTTGCTCCGTTGGTACTTTGACAGTATTCTGCGCTATTCTTTGCTATTTGGTATTCTGTTAGCCTATGATTCTACTGTTACTCTTTACTATTCTATCATCTGAATCTGTACTCTTCTATGGCTCACAATGTCACTCTTTGCTACTGTTCTCACTACCAAACAACTATGGTATATTCGATATTCCCTTATTCTTGGTGACCAAACCATGAAGTCGTTAAAAACTCTGATGATCAAAATGCTTCGTCATTTTCATGTAAAATTTACAAAAAGCAAAAAGCAAAATATATATATATATAAAATAGAAAAAATAGAAAAAATAGAAAAAATAGAAAAATCAAAAAAGCTAGTAAAGAAAATAGAAAAGATAAAAAAATTATAAAAGAGCAAAAGGATCATGGAAAAAAAAAAAACAAAAACAAAAAAAATTCCGTAAGTCTATTGCTGGTGGTTGCTTGATGAAAGCGAAATGGTTCTTGGTTCTCCTTTGCGTAAAATGAGGCGTCCGGCAGTGCCGCCGTTGAGCCCATCGTTTGGTTTGTGCTATACAATTTCCCTAAGGAACACTTCATGCTTGGTTCGAACGGATTCGACTGGCTCTGACTGTTGTATTCATACTTAGTGGATCAACTATCAACCATGTTGTGCCATGAAAACATTATCAGTAAATATTTGTAGTAATCGTTACTCGTGAGGTATTGGTTGTTGTTGTTGTTAGTACTCGGTAATGTGTAGAATAAAAGCAAGGAAGTGATGAGTCTCTGTTTTATCCTTTTATTAGAAGTGAGAGAGAGGAACTCATAGCAAAAAGAAATTAGGTTGTTTTAAAAGAGGTCGGAGTACTAACTAAGGTACATGTAATTAAGTCAAATGTAATCTCGCACGTAAAGATTAGTATTAGACATGGTCAAATACGACAACTCGGTTAGGAGTTCTTCCATATATGGCCTATCATATGTGAGTTTTCTCTTAGGGTGCCGTTACAATATCCATATGAAATGTCTGTGCTCTAACTTTCAGGACAATGGTTCCTTATTCGGCGAGACATTGTAAGATTGTGCACCACCTCATCAACAAGGCACCTCGAACATACATCGAACCAATAGTTAATACTAGTTAGGTTCTTCCCAGTTATTCCCATTGTAGCTGGACGCTTATAGGTACGCTTATGATATCCAATTATCATTATTGATTGTAGATGTTAAAAAGTATAAATACCATTGTTTTATTCATCGTAAATAGTGATATCATATATTTCAGTCTCACTGACTTATTGTCCTTTTTCTATTCTCTTCTCACCTTATTAGCTTTTGTCTCTTATCTTTGTACTTGGCAAAACAAACCACATATGAAACAATAACTGGCAATTATCTGACTTCAGCTTGTTACTTTTGTCGTAGAACAATGTCTGCTTAAGGGCTGACTGTTGTATTTAGCTTTAGTGCTATTGAAAAAAGGCTATTAAGTCGATGA